AAGCAACCATATAAGGCAACAAAACCAGAATAAAAAGAATTTGTGTTTTGGGGAGTTGGGCAGACATCTGTTCTTACCACACAAGGCTTGGCAACTTTCAAATTAGGGGAACCTCAGATCACCCTTCCAGCTAGGAAGTCACACACAAAGCAAGGTTCCTCACAGGCACGTCGAGATCAAACGTCTTTGTATTTACCTGTCTGCTTTCAAAAGCAGGTTAGATGGCAGTTCAAGGAGCTGGTTGTGTTGAACGTCCAGGACCTCCACTTGCATTCGCTCCAGCCGATCGGGTAGCCTTCCTAACATGTTATGTCCTGCCAGCAGCTTACGCAAGCTACTGTTGTAAAACAACCTTAAAGAAATAAAATAACACCAAAAATGAGAAAAATCTGAACTGAAGAGTTGCTCTGAGCATTTAGGTGCGGTATCACAGTTAGTTGCGAGAAAGTGATTCAGCCAACTGATTAGCAGACAGGGTATTAATTACGCACAGATCCAAGAATGTCTTCCCACTCTCCACCAACTTCTTAAAAAGGTTGTTCAGAAACAGGGAAGGAGGTTTAAGGATGACTCAGGAGTGACAGTAGTTAGAAAGGGTTATCTTACTGCACTGTATAAAACATGGATATAGAAGGGTGGCAGTGAAGGAGGTAATTGCTACCAATGGCTGCAGAAAACTGCACGTGTGGGATCCCCGTAGCTAATGGAAGAACTTCAGAAGTGTGGGTGAAATCACCAGTCACACCTCAAGCTCCATAGTGCTTTATTCATCATGTGCTGACTCATAATCCAAATGCAATTCCCAACCCCCCATTTTCCTTTTCTGTTAATACCAGACTAACATAAAGCCTCCTTCCCAGTTCTGCAGCGAATGAAATTTATCTAATCGGCTTTACTTTCTTCAGCTTTTACAAGCGATAGATGACCTGGTGTCCCAACCCCCTGCTCCAATTTTGGGTGGGGGGGATGGGAGAGAAGGGGAAGGGGAAGAAGAGAACGACGTAAAGAGAACAGAGCAAGCAGCTGTTTTGATCAAAGCTAAGATCTGCAGTATAAACAACTTAAAGAGTGTAAAATGTGCCTCTAAGAACCCCCGAAATGGAGCAACTCTCAGTTTTGAATGGGAACCACTTTCAGCAAATTAAGAAAAAACCCATTATTCTTCATCTGCCCCCCGTCTTACATTCCCGCTACCGCACTCTCTAATCCGACGAGCCCGAGCATCACGCTGACCTGGTTCAAACAAAGACTCTCCAATTACTCAGCATTAAAGCAAAAATCTTCCCCTGTGACAACGACCCAAATACACATAAAGACCTTCCCCCCGCTCCCCCTCCTCTACAGTATATCAGGTCATCAGATTATTGTGCCAAAGTAATCAATGGAGTATGCGGAGTATTTTCCCCTTGACAGATAGAGTCACGCTCCCTATCCGTGCGCCAGCGTTAACAGTTATCTCAGTTGGCTGGATCGCCTGTGCTATGGCCATGGATACAAGTCAACAGACAGCTGTATCATTCCAGAAGGCTCAACACAGGGTGAAAAGACTTACCATACAGAGATAAGCATATCTGTTATGTTTTTTGTCGTTTAACCATTTTTGTTTCACTTCACTGCTACATGAAAATCTCAGTTACGGGTTTGCATTTCTACTCTATCTCCTTTTCTAATCAAGGCTGGCCAATACCATCAACACTAAACACTACAAGAAAAATCAGAATTGGGTGACTGCACCTCCAAAAAAATTTACCATTTTTGGGGTTTTTTTAGGTGGGTGGGAGCAGTGCCATTTTTAAATAGAAAAGAAGTTCAAATCATGGTGAAAACCTTAGCAATCTTCCACAAAAGTGTATTTTATAAATAATTCAGAAGAACTGAATAAGTCCTTGAGAGTTACTTTTGCTGCTGCTTTTTTCTTCTTCCCTTGGTTTCCAAGTTACACAAGCACCAAAGGAACTGGGCTCCCTGAAGAGAGGCTGAACCACCAGCATTTAACTAAGCGAACTCCTCATGAGCCACCTAGTTCTCAAGCTGGGTGGAGAACCAGGGACTACTCTTGGCTAAGGGGAGCTTTTCTACTTGCCTGACTCACATGAAAATACGTATCTGATGGGATCAGAAAGTTCTACGGACAAGCATGCCGCTCAGCGTCAGCATCTTCTGATGCTGAAAGCCTTCTACCAATTCCTTTAGTAAGCAGCTGTTCAAAAGAACACGACACTGAATATGAATAGATCTTTTAAAAAAAGAAAAAACAGATAAAAAGGAACAAAAATACATAGACACCTGTTGACCGGTGGCAACAAGGTCGTTTCGGCAGCTCAGAACTGAAGCATTTCCATTTTCTTTGAAAGATCTTTGGCAATGTCAGTTTTATGACAATGAGTTTGTCCTGCACAGCTAAGACTAAGTACCCTTTTTTGGTTATTTTTCAGTACTTTGAAAACAGCCCAGCGTACACCAGACCCATTTTCTTGGAGAAAAACGTTAGTAGATGGTCCTCTATGTCACCTGCTTCAACTCTTTGTCTTCAAGGACTGTTTTTCTGTTTCAAGGCAAACGCACTAGCACCAACTGTTTAGATTAGGTGCAACCTTTGGCCTTCCTGGGAACTGCTGGTCAGTCAAGGCTGGAACGTCTGTGGTTAGAGTTGCAGGCAGCCTCCTAGAAGAGTCCTGCTCACTCACTTCACAGGTTTTCACAGCGGCAGGAAAAGCACACACCAGTGCACATCAACACACTTACTGGGCACTAGTATTTACCTGATACAGGTCTATACGCCTGAGCCATTTCCATTTGAATCCAGACACAACATTTCCCTAAAGGTTAACGGACTCCCAAAGAGGGTGTTTTGAACTGGGCCCTAAAACCGAGCTGACTTATTAGGAGCTAAGCTATCTAGACACATACTACAAAGAAGAGCTTTCAGAGATAAGCTATTTCCTGGGGTTAGTGATAAGATGGCAGGAGAGACAAATGGGATGTTGACTGTACCTAATTTCAGCTAATCATTAATCTCCCAAAGATATCCGGTATGCCTTGATACTCCTTGCTGTTATGAAGTGCAAATGAAAGGCAAATGAACTTTTGCTCCCCGCGCCTTCGGAGTAGGCGCAGCTCCGCTTCGTGTGAAAAAACAAAGGGACTAATAGTCTGCATGCTAGCCTGTTAGTTTGCTCAGTGAATCTCCTCACATCCCCTTCTGCCCACATTTCAGAAATCTATTCTCTTCCCATTTCTGACACTAAAACTGCCAGTTTACACCATATGGCAGATTCAGCTGACCCAGACAAGACTATCCTTTTTGCTTCCTGATGCTCTTCTGTGCTGTTCAGCTCCGTAAAGAAAATATTTAATAGCTCATCATATACTAGCTGTCTACAATCTTCCATGGCTCTGCACATCCTCACGCAATTTCACCCGTTGTGCCTAGTGTGTTCTCCCTCTATTGAAGCGTGCAGAGCAAGCAAGAATGACAGCTCTCTTCTGGTGAAGTGATGGACTTAAAAATTCTCAGTGACAGTACCTGACTAGTATACTCACTTGGAACAGGTCTCCCAGGGGGAAAAAAAAAAACAACCACAAACTAGTGAGAGCCACTTGTTATTTAAACTCAGCTCCTATTTTCCTTCCTGTTCTCTTGCTTTCCTATAATTTGTATTCATCATTTTTAAGCTCAGACTCCTGGAAAACAGATTATCTTTGTAGTGAAGGAGATTGCTTTACTTGCAGGACTTTGCTTGCTTGATGAGGCTTTACCTTCTCTCGACCCTCTTTCACTCCAAGAGGGCTGTGAACTGGAGTCTCTAGGCAGCCCTGAAACTAAGCTACAAGCACACTGTCATGCTAAGTTATAGCTGTAAATATTTAATATTCAGTATTAAAAATGAAGGGCTTTCCTGCCTGAACAGCCACATGAACAGCTTCAAAACTTCCACCCGGAGTTCAGAGGCACTGCTTTCTCTGCATGAAAGTAGCAGAAGGGCTGGATGGATGCTTGAGGCATGACGACACCCCACAAGGTAAAAAATAAAATCAAACAGAACATAGAAGGGGCCTGACAGTCACTGGAACAAGCTAAACACTGAATCAGCAATTATTTCTGAATTGGTTATCCTGTTCCACATTGTGCAACTGGTCTGCAAGACTCACCGGGCAGGCAGCTCACGTATCTGATTGTGGCCAACATCCAACACTTCCAGTTTCCTGCTGTCACATACCCACTCGGGCAGGTTCTCCAAGTGATTTCTATGAATGAAGAACACAAAGAGGTATAACCAAATGATAATCGAGATGTAAAGGCTATTAAGAACACAGCCTCAAGAGACATACCTGCAGGAAATAAATCCGCTACACAACATGTTTACTATGAGATTGGCTCACCCCTCCTCCTCTAAGGGCACTACCAGTGCAGTAAGGTCCTGAGTGAGGGGGCAAGAAAGTGGAAAGCATTATCACCTCCCTAGATGTGCAGCCACTAGGAAAATGGAAAAAGCTGCTTCCAAATTATCTGGAAAGAAGTATTACGAGTATCAGAGTATCGAGGATGAAGGAGTGTCTCCATGGAGAAGAAAATTTGGAAGCTACTCCTCAGAAGATATTCACACCCTAAACAGCTGAAACACCTCTTCGATCCCCCCTAAATTCAATCCCGAATCCCACTCTTCATCTATCTCACTGAATAGAGCAAAAACTTTTGGTTTTCTGTCTATCTTTCAAGTCAAGCGCTTTGCTTTTCCTGCATCTGTGTTCACGGGAACTAACTCTGCTAAAATATAAGTTCTTAGAGATGAGTTTTTCCAAATATTGCACTGAAAACATGCAGCTAGGCACAGTGGGGCACCCACGTATCCTGCCTTAAAGACAAAAATCAGCAGCACAAAATACATGATTGTGCGTGTGTGTATTCACATAACTGCTACTTCCGTTAGCATGCAGAGATGTAAAACCAGGCATCAGATAAAATTCAGGCACTTGCAGACTCGAAGTTCAGGAATAGGACCCATACGTAGCATGTACATAAATCAATATTCATGTTTATTCATGTACTTGTATCCCGTAGTTTATTCATGCAATAGCCTTTACCCAAAATATGTGACAGCAACCCAGCCCCTCCTACCCTCAGATAGCTTCCTTTTCAACCTCAAACAGATTTCCCTTATTCCAAGCGAGCCAAGCAGCTCAAGACACCCTACCCATTTAATTACAATGCCATCACTGAACTGAGGCACAAAAAGGGGTTTGTGATCAAAATCATGCATTCTGCACCCATTTCACTTACAGCTAAACGGAGAACGCGGCGTTACAAGGAATGCTTTTCAATAAACCACACTTATTTAGTCACACCTGTGCGCTATGTTTAGGTGCGCGATGTAACTCGTGGTTGATGAAACGCGGAAGCTATTGGCCACTCGTCCAGGTTAACTCACTCTTACAATCACCCTCAAGAGCTTAAGCGTGCTTTAAGCAGGTTTTTTAATGAATGAGATTATCACTTCAACATGCAGATGAGTAATTCCTTAAATCAGAGAGATGTTAAGCACATGTAAAGTCTTTTCCTAATTCAGTCCTTAAATTGTAAAACAAACTAAACCACTCCCTTTTCCACATCTTTCCTTACTCTACCTCCCTCATTAAGGTGAGATTTACGGATGCATTCAAATGGCAACTGCAGATGTCCCTGCAGCAGCCAGGGCTGTGGAGAACAACGATGAGCTGCAAAAGCTGCCCAACTAATGAGTAAACTATCAAACTGTCACCTACGCTGGGCTTGTGACACAGACATAGCCAGAAGGGGACTTCTGTACATGTCTCATGTTGGTGCACGTTTGAATCATTGTGTTGTATCTCTGTAAGACAGGAAATCTTTAAATCAGGGAAACTCTGTGCCTTTAAAGGCACATTTTGCTTTTAGCATTAAAAAGAGAGAAAAAAAGGTAAATCCATAAAAAAGAAACAGGGAAGAACAAGCCAGTAGAAAAAAAGCCCATCCTCTAAGGATCAGTCTTCTCATATCTCAAGGTCCAACTCTTGCCCCCACACCTCCCAGTAAAATACCAGTGAATGTCATTTTTCCGTAAGCCTCATTGACACATATTTTATAGGCCCAAGGAAAAACAAACAAACAAACAAAAAAAAAAAACCAAAAAACCCAACCCATACTCTTACCTAGAAATATCCATATAAGCCAGGCAATTAGGAACTGGATACACATCAAGGTGAACAAGTTCTAGGGAGGAAAATAAGAAAAAAAAACCCAGAAGTGGTGATGAAAATTTGCACCTAAATGGCTGTTCCGTAACAGTTACTTCAAACAGCTAAAACAGAGATTTCAGAACAAGTCAGTAACCCAGAAAACATCTGAGGATCTGGACCTGTGCGAACTGGATGCTGTTTCTTTATTATATCTGAGTACATTTGCTCTATAATCTTGTACTTGCTATGACAGACACTGCATAACTGATCAGAGAGAAGAAACTGGAGGATTCTAAAAGTTTCATGGGAAATTCTCATTTTTCCATTTTTGTCCCAGAGCTGTAACTTTACCTCCGCCACCCACTGCCCAGAATAGTCAGTCACAAAGCTGCTCTACTTTTTTCACTGGTCACTAAATGGTACAGGCATGGAAGAGACTCCCCACTCTGGAACGGCAAGCTACAGAACACCCCACAGTCCTCCAGGTCACGGCAAGGTATTTTTCAACACATTACACGACCCTTCACATCCCTGTGGAGGCCCTGGTTCAGGCAGCCTTACAGACCTTTCACAGCGCCTCAACTACTGCTAATAATGTTGTATTTTGATTGCTTCAATAACATTTCATACCCTAATGTTTTTAGGTAGCTAATGCTTAGCATCAAGGTTGATGCAAAACCAGCAGGCATTTATTTAAGCCCAGAGAAAATGCACTAAAGTGAAAACGTAACAAGCATCACAGTTCCTTTGGAAGAGGAGACTGAACCAAGGTGGCTGAGGGTGCAAAGACAGCAGAGCCAGGAGGGACAGCAAGACCAAATAGGCGGTTGGTTGCAAGATAACAGGCTGCCTTGGGTTCTCGGCTCACATTGATTGCACATGCTCAGACGGTAGACTCTTCTGGGTTACAAACATCCTGGCATCAATACTTCATGAAGGCACAGGCTTGGGTATCGTTAAGATGACAACCTTTTAAAGGCAGTGCAGACTATTCAACAAGTTCACAGCTCTTTAAGCTTGCATTTTGTTTATTCCATACCAGACTACTCCGAACAATAAAAACGATAGTGAAAATTGAGTATTTTGAGTAATAGCAGCTTCCAGAGACAGATCAAACAAATCCTATTCATGGAACACTGGAGTTATTCAACTGGAAAAGGCTGCATTATTTTTATTATTGAGTACAAATGAAGTTATTCATTATAGATTTAGCTCTGGCCAGACAGTTACAAGAGGTAGTAGCAAAAATATATATATTGTTGTAGTTTGTTTTACAAACCGCCACTTGTACAAACTTTCTCAAACCTGGGGAAAAGCAATAAATTCCCTGTTTGCCTTGGTAAAGCAACACATTAATACAACCCAACAAACTGACAACTTCAAGAGCCCTCCCCTGTTGACACAGAGAGGAATTCCAGCCCAAATTTTAAGATTTTTGCAGCTTTGAAACTTCCAAATTGGAAGCCGCATGTTATTTGCAAGTCACTTGAAGCTCAGAATTGGCAGGAGCATGTCACAGCACGTGGGAAAGCCTTTTATCCAAGGGTCATGTCAAGAGCCTCCAGATTATGTGCACTGCACTCTATGAGCATCCCACAGAGAGGCAGGTACGAACGCCGGAAGTCGGAGGACTACACCAAAGCTGCCCTGAAAAAGCACTTACCGTTTGAGGAAGCGTACAGCGCTTTGAGAAAATATCCACTGATTTTGAGGGTTACCAGTTGATTCCGTTCACAGTGTAACACTTCGACATTGTTAAAAACTGTCGCATCCAGCTCCCCAAGTTTGTTGTCTCTGAGATCCAGTTGGGTCACATGATGCAGAAAATCTGTTTCTTCGGCCTCCAGTCTCCTAATTGAATTCAATCTTACAGACAAAAAAGGGAGATTAAGTGTAGTTACGTGGCAGGCTCCTGCTGACAAACCAACTCTCACTCTGCAGTCAGTCGTGCTGGATTAAACTAGCATGCCTCCAGGTTCTGATCAAGGTCGATTTTAAATATTTTCCCCTCTGTTATGGTATTTTAAAAGCAGGATGGATCAGCTCTGTTGTTTTATCCATCATGACAAAAGAATGATGACACCAAGTTCCTTTCTAAACTACTTAGAAGCCTACTGATAAAAAGATCTGCAAGAACGTCAGTATTGCTGTTATTTTGTCTATAAAAATAAAAGATGATCTGGCTGTTATTTCTGCCTGATAGCTTAGGAAAGAACAAAACATCGACAGTTCCTGCTGGCCTATCATGAGCATCTGCTGAAAAGTCTGGCAGATATGAGTAACCCGCAGATATTGGAGTCTCTTGCCTTACTGAAAGGCCAAAACTGAGGTTTATGAATCCCCATATTTGCCTCTTGCTTTGCCATCTTTCACAGCAAGCAACTTCAGAGGCCTGAAAATGGGTGTTGAGAGAAAACAGAGCAAAAGACCCGACATGAGTGAGTCTGTCAGATAAAGAGAACTGGTTTTATCCCATCTCCACTGGGACACCGCCAATACTCAGCAACCTCCCCAGAAATTACAGCGGAAATAAGATTATCTATAACCCTGCAAGGTTTGAGGTGGTAGAGAACTCCACAGAGTTCAGTTTCAAATTCTCAGCTCTGACCAGAACATGTAAATCTGTATGGGTAACTTCTGCCAGCCCATTCATTGAGCCTCCCTCGTGAGGACAAGGGCACACACCTGCAGGTTTGTTATGCCTCTTGTTGTCAAAGAGTTGCCCTCTGTACAGCAGCTGTGTTTTCAGAGAAGCTACACTGAGAAGAAAATGGCTAATATGCCCCCTCCAATACCACGGCCTACTTTCTCTGTTCTCGGTTTACAAGCAGTGCTTCCTTCCAATTTCAGCGAAGCAAAGCACCTCACGGTGCTGCGAGTGCAGTTTACAAACACGTTCGGCGTTGACTATTCCGGGCAGCGTTACACAGAACCCGCGTTGGCTGCTCGGTGCGGGAAGGATGCGGCAGACGACGAGAGGGCTGGAGCTGCGCCGTTGGAACTCATGGCCAGCTCAGCCACAGCATCCCTATGCTTAAGGCCGGTTTATTCATTTGTTTTTAACATACACACACACGTTTTAACTCCACCACATACACTTTGGAATTCACCCCCCTATTTTAGATATTGTTTTAACTTATGCTGGCCCTTCCTTGACCACAAAGTCCGACAGCTACACAGTGGTAGGCTAAGTTTTAGCCTGAAGAGCTTAATTTAACTACATGGTTCTAAACTTCATTATTATTTGGACCTCACGGTCCAGGCTCTGAATTGAGCCTTGCTGAGCTGATCGCAGAAGCTGGCTTCCCCAAAGGCCGTAGGAATAAAGAACCACCTCATACCAGAGCCATTTGTAATAAGGATCTGTTTACACTCCGCTAAGGGCATCAAAAACGTTACTCGTGGTAGACTGGGCTTTTTAACATACCATGAAATGTTAAAATACCTATTATTGTCCTCTCAACTTCACTGCCCTTTTCTTCATCTTACATGACCTTTCAGAGAGAATCTTTTTTAGGGAGGATTATAATTCATATTATATTAACACTCCATCCACTAGAACTGCAGGAGTCACTGGTGTCCCAGGCTCTGTTTGGTTTGGGGTTTTTTGGGTATAAATACTAAGTTCTCCCACTCATTTTCCTAACTGTTGATCCCCCTAAAGGCTACCTCTTCTTCCAGGAAGAGTTCTAACTGACAGCAAGTCCTGTGAGTTACACAATGCTGCCAGAAACATGGTTCAACAGACAAACGCCCGGGGGGATTCATACCCAGGGCTAATTCTGATAGTCAAAGAAATACCGTTTCAACAGCAGTACTTTTATTCCCCCCCCCCAAATACCTACCTTAGATCCACGTGTTTAATATGAGGCATCCTTTTTAACACCTGCAGGTTCAGGGTATCCATGCAGTTTCCCGACATACAGAGCTTATCCATGGCGGTCAGCTTCTCCAGCACCCCGGGAATGTCGGTGAACTCGTTGAAGGACAGACTCACGTAGCTCAGCTGATGCATATGCTCCAATTCATCAGGAAGGGACTGAAGAAAGTTGCCATCCAGCAAAAATGTCTGCAAGCTATTAAAGGCGGGGGAGGGGAAGGGAGCATGAAGAAAGTGAGTGATCTGTTAAATCATATTTCCTCCCTATAAACACACAAATCTGCTGCAGCTACACTGAAATAACATACACAAAAGGGCAGACGAAAAAAAAATGTTAAGTAATAACACTTTAACATCTGCTACAGAAGATATCGACCAAATAAAAGCCTTGCAACTATGAAATACAGGCTGTGCTAGACAGATGTACCCTATCTTCAAACATCTCCAGAACTGCAACTTGTGTGAGGGCTAAAGCGCATAAGCAAGGGGGTTTTAAAGGTTATCTTCAGCACAGAGGTGACCCTTGTGTCAAATACTGGGGACTGGACAAGTTTTTGAGACAGAAAGGGTGCTTCCCCTAAACCCACAGCTCACAAACGCTTCCATACAAATCTCCAAGCCCGTCTGCTCTGACAAAACCCAGAAGGTTTAAACCATCTCCCATTGCAAGATTATGTACAGTCACGAAACTGCTTGTTGTCTATATGATCAGTCGGTGTACATTAAGTTTTAAGAAAGTACTTGCTTGTGCATCTCGCCGACAGCTGCTGGAACACTTCTGAGGGCATTGCAGGACACGTTGAGTTCAGTCAATGTTGGGATACTGCAGACTGCCAGTGGGAAGTCTCCTAAATTATTATTGGAAAGGTTAAGGCTCTTCAATTTGGTGAATCTGCAGAGAGATAAGAAAAAAATAAAAATAAATAAAGAACAAATAAGTGGAGTATAAACCACACCGAGTTGCCTTGCAATAATTCACACAGGGTAAGTTTGGGCATATAAATCACATGCACTTTTAGCTGATGTACTCAGAACAACCAAGGAAACTACCAGACACTCAAGTTTAACATCACTTACAAGGGTTCGCTCACATTAAGCTGGCACAGAGAAACAGGCCCTCCTGAACAACACATTAAGTGTGCTTTCCTCCGAGTCTGAAGAAAACAACACACCAAAAAACCCTTGCTATCATCACGATACATATCGTTTCTTCTGTGGCATCTCATCCCGCACTAAAGCACTGCTATTTTTCTGAACGCATTTCATGCCAGAAAGGCTACCCTAGTGAGACTGGTTACGAGACACAGGAAATTCTCAGCCTGTTTGAACACTAAATTTTTGCGGTGCAGCTCAGCTCCATTCATGTAAGCAGATACTGCCTTTCAACCAAGAATTCTCATTAGAATAGGGTGGTTTGAATACAACTGGGAAATGTGCTGAATTAAAGCAGAATTTAGCAAGACTTCTGTAGTGACAGAGGCAAATTCTTATGCTCTTGCTTAAGTACGATGTCAAAGCTTCGCACAGATTTCAAAATTTTGTCCTCGACATGTCGCGGAACTCTTAAAAGCCCCTCGGTTTATCACATCAGCCAACGAAGCAACTTGCATGTGCTTGCCTTATTAAAGATGACCAAGAGTGTTTGAACGAAAAGCCCAAGAAAGGGACAATCCAATTAGCCAGCCTGCATGTTCAGCGACATCATTATGGTTGCCTAACAACCACTGGGAGGTATGCCTAAAGGCAAGTAAAAGGATGAATGAAAAGATCTGTGTCAGATTCCGATAGATGGGAGGAAGTTTCTTTTCTGGCATGGTTTACGCCAGGACATTTTATTTGGACTTCATTTTCCCTTCGTTACGGCTCAAGTGCTTTACTTGTGCGAGCAGGCTTTTATGTAACACAGTGATGGAGGCAAAACTGCACCTACGAACACTGCTATTCCACGTGAAAGTAACCTCCAAACACATGTGCCACGGCATCCACGGCCTCCGCATCGGCCCAGTACATCCTCACCTCTAAGCACATTGTCCTTCCCCAACCAGAAAACACACTGAGCATTAAACAGGTTAAAAAGTCTTAATGCAAAAAACCTCTCAGAAATCCTAGCTGAGGATGGTGGCACACACCGGTAGCGCTGCCTAAAACAAAGTAATGCTCCGGACTAAAACTCAACATGAAAACTAAGTAGTGCCTTCATATCCTGTTTCAACAGGGGTTGTAAGATAAGTGTGGATTTTACCCCCCAAAACCAGGCTATAAATACATTTAAAGTTTACAAATACACCTAACACTTGCAAAGGTTTGCAGCAGGCAAGGGAATGCTGTGCTCCCTGTTGGTGCAAAGATGGCAGAAGGAAAAAGAAAAAAAAAGGAAAAATCGTGGCCAGAATTATCACAGATTTTGAACACCCTGTGCCACGCTGGAGGCAGAAGAAGTTTGGAACAGAGTTAGATGGAGACTAAATGAAATCTTGCAATCAAATTACTGCTGCAGGGAAAAGAATGCTACTGTGCAGAAACAATGACTAATGTATCTCTAGAGGGAGAACTGTAAAATAAGAAGGAAGCTAGGGTAGGCTAGCTGATGTTAACGAGGGCTGCCAGCCAGAAGAGAACGCACATTTTAAACACTACATCTTCCTACCCCTCTATTTTGAGAGCAAGGCTTAAAAATCTTGAACCTATAACTGAAACACACAGTCCTCTATTTATCTTAAAGATAACTGTAGATTTAGGCCACAGGTATACTGCTCTGATATTTGGGGTGATTCTGTGGTGGGACAGCTATCCCACATCTTCCTCAAAGTCAACTGCAATTACAAGCAAGAGTACTCTAAAGTAGGGGACTCCAGGGCCTTTAGAATTTTTTTTTTTCCCCCCAGTATTTAGGTAAGAGCAAAAATAGCAGTGAAGACAGCAGCTTAGTTATTTTGACTAAATCTTCCTACAGAAACATCCAAATGCAGCCATTCCAATTTTCAAGTCAACCATGAAAAAAGAATTAACTCATTTAATAATCAACACTGAGGTTTTGCCTGTGCCACTCTGGAGTCCCAGGAGAAGAGTCTCAGGGCTTTTGCTCACTGAACAAGTGAAAACTACAATCCACCAGATGACCCCAGATACAATCTTCTGATAAAGTTACAGACGCTCACGCTGATACACAAAGGGGACTGGGGTAGCAGTGGTGGTGAGGGAAGCTAAGAAATACACTGAGTAACTCCAATGCAGTGCTCAGCTTCAAGGTTTTCTGCACACATTCTAGTGTATAATTGCCCCAGGTCACCTGGGGCAAATCACACCCCCCAGTGTATGTGGATTACATCTCTACTACCCTGATGTATGCTTTAATTTGTGTTTATTAAGGGTCTTCTGTGAGTAATCTAAGTACTAAGGACACAAACTGAACTGGTTAACAGGTCTATATAGTATGCAAGGGAGGATGAGTAGTATGCCCAGTACTGGATATACTCATCATATAGGAGCTGAAAATGCATACAAGTGTATGTCAAATAATCCACAAAGGAGAGTCCATTGATAAATCACATTTACAGAAAAGCTGAAAGACAGACATCATAAGCTCAGTTAAAAATCAAGAACTTAAGACAACTGGCAGGAAAGAGGTATTTTCTTCCTCCTTTGTAAACACGTTCATTTACAGAACGCTAAAGTAGCATTTCTCCTCACAAAGCACTGTCAGATACAGAGCATCACTAAGCCAAACTAGCAGACATTTCCTCAGAGTTAAGATCCAAGTCTACCTCTCATCTTTGGCCACTCACTTCCCACTATCCATATTGCAAATGGGTTGGCGCACTTCCACTACGGAGCACTGTCGTGCCGTACATTTAAAATGCTGAATTGTTTGTAGTGCTTCTTATATCTAGATAGATTCACAGTAGAAACAGTAGCATCAATATAAATAAGGTAGGAAAGAAGTACTTTACAGACTCAAGTTTTCTGTTGCTGCTGAGTTTGCAGCGTTGGGCTTCGAATCGATTTTACAGAGCAACATCTTTGCTGTTTACTCGCACCCAAAGTCTTACTCCTACCAGAAGCAGGGATGCTTATTGATGCTGGAAAGGAGAAGAGGCACAAAACTGCTCGTTTGAGGCATGACAGTGTAGTAACTTCCTATCAAGTCCATACATATGCTTTCCTTCCTCTTCTCCCTCCTTCCCTGGGTCTACACTTTGTTATCTGTTAAAAAAGGTCAGCCTGAAGAACAGCACCTCTGAACACGCTACGCTCAGTTAGCTCACCAAGATTTCCACTGTAATCACCGATATACAAACACTCACTGACCAAAAATAGTCCTACCTTAAGCTACAGCAGAAGGTTGACATGTCAACCCTTGAGTTTAACCATGCAGTAGGAATGAACACTAATTGCCATAATTGAGCCAAAAAATGCCCACTTACTTAATCCTGAAGCTGCCACTTCAGGAGCAGTTTTAATTTGACACAGGCAAAACGAGGAGAGTGACTAACAAGAGGAGTTTGTATCACGGCAAAGCAATGAACTGACAGGCTAATTTCAAATTCAGATCTACCCGATGCGCACAGCAGACATTTCCATTACACAGTACAGCATTTGTGTTCCAGTATGTTTGGAGGGAGGGGAATATCATCTTCGAATTGGCCATACACCATCACTGAAATGGAGCTGTAACAGACTTGACCGACAAAACCAGTCTCGCCCTCCTCTTACCAAAAGCAATTAAAAAGCAGTATTTTACTACACCCAAACCTGAAGACACGGCTTAATAAGAGACTCAGCTTAAGGAAAACGATCACTTTCCCAACACTACCTCCAGTGTTTGGGCTGTTCTCATGTCTATGCTGTGGTTGCAGCTGAGCATCACTTCCAGCAGCAGCATGACTTTCAAAAGATAATCTAGAGAGGAGGAAGGAGGAGCTCCGCTGCTGTTTTCCACCCCGTTTCTCTGGATAAGATTCCTGTTCATCCAGAAACCAAGACACTCACATCACACCACACAAAAACCGATGGAGTAAAGTCATCTCAGGAAAGAGGGTCACTTAATCTGGTCAAGTCAGAAGCAGCTTATCAAATTCACCCATTAATTATCAATTTCTCCATTAGCTGAATGAATAAACGAAAAGATAGTTTTATCTGAATTTTTATTTCCATCCTCCTTTCTTAAACCTCACGGTGGGGAAGGAAAAAAGCAGACCAATAGTGATAATTTTGGTATCTTCACTACCTTTTAGGCCAACACACGAGGAAGTCATCCTGATATTTCTTCCTTTTGCTTGCACTTAAAACTATAAAAGGCACCACAATTTTGGCATACAGACTTGAGTCCATATGCTACAATTAATTGCTAGATTGTATTAAAAAAATAAAAAGAAAATCCTTACTTTGGAAGCCACATCAGGAAGTAACAGGCAAGTAAATTGGAGTAGGCTGATACACAATAACTGGATTCCATAAATATGTTCACTACTTTTTGAAACGTTATTCAGAAGAGATACTGCTGTACTTAGCCTAATAGGTCCATTAAACTGATTCCAATTAATAACTGCAATTTCTACTTTTAGACCACGCTATTTCTAAAAATGCTATTTTATAGCATTTTTCTTAGTGCCATCTATTTTTCTCCTAACATTATTAAGGAGTTCACTGTTTCAATTTAAACAATCAAAAAACCCCAATGTGTTTCAGGCATTAAACCAAGTTTGCAGCCTTCCCCACTTAGTCATTTGTAATGACTTGATTTTGCAATTTATTTTTCTTTACTCAAACATCACTGATTTTTGCTGAGTATTCGCATGAGGGGTCATTCCCTGAGTTTGGAGCAGCACACAGGAGCTACGCAGAACACAACCCCTCATGTTAGCTAGATTAATTTAAGTAACTTCAATAAAT